TCAAGATGGTAGTGTAGCATGATTGGTACTAAAATCAGCAACTTTTAGGTGGAAATCTTCATTGATGAGTATATATTCTGGTTATGGAAATCAAAAGAAAACAAACGAACAAACGAAGTTAAATTGGTGAACGTTAAGGTTAAAAATCTTTACATAAATCTCCTGCTTCTATATCACAGATACATACCAACAAAATTAGCCATGTGCAGATAGAAGCCCCCATTAGTCACCATCTTATATTACCTTCAATACTTCCTAAATGTACACTCGATTTCCTTCAAGTGTTATGGGCATGATAGCCACATGCAGATAGAAACCCCATCAATCTTCCATTCTTTAGGCTTTAACTCACATTCAGTAGTTCCTAAACGTACATTCAATTTCTTCAACCTTCACGCACATGATCACGCCAAGAGCCTCGTTGCATTGTTAGTACCTGTAGTGACAAGAATTAGCATGGTCGAAATACAAGCCATAGTTGCAGTCAACCATAATATCACATGAAATCTCTAACCTGGTTACTCATAAGAGTTTTGCCGGGTGAACTTTCAATATCCTCTTTCATATTATTATCTTCTTCTTCTTCTTAATGGTGGAATCTTAAACGTTCTATCCTAACCATACTTGCAAATGAAAATCCAAATAAACATGAGAAAATAAAGAAAGAAGTAATAACTCAAATATATTAGATAGAATTCATATAGGACTATATTTAAATCCAGCCAGAAATGAAAATTGATCAGTATGATTAGATGCCCTAACTCCATAATGAACAAAACATCTGCTCCCAGCATAACATTATAATGGATAATCAAGCTTTGCGGTCCGATTGTGTGGTAAAATCAAGCATAATATTTAAACGCCATTTCTTTCTTAAGAAATGAAAGAAAAATTTCACCTTTCATCCTCTGAATCCACTTTCTGATTTGAAAAGCACAGAAAACACAAAGTATAAACGAGCGTTAAACTCAAAACTCAGTACAGTAACTTAAAACTTGCAAGAAATGAAAATCAACATAAAGAATTGTTTTGGCCGAAGTCTCAGAGTTTCGCTTCTAACAACTAATCCCGTGATGAGCATCCATAGAAAATGGATAATGTTCGATTGCACTATATAACCTAAAAATGGCAACGAAAGTTTATAAAGCTTAACAAGATAAAGTATCAAGAACTTATCTTCTCACAAAGGAAATTGTGTGGGATAAATTATGGGGAATCAAATCAAATCAAACCGAAGGCCC